CCCCCCTCCCCCACCATTCCACTACGAGCAATAGCTGTCCGCCAATATATAGCTTGATCTAGCCGATGGCTGCTACACTGACCCAGTTCGGCTTTCCCTTTGGTCCTACCCTCATATCGAGTTGTATGCTTTAATTTGGTCTAGTAAGGTTGTAAGTCTGCTTCTAATCTATTTCACGTCCTCCCAGCCAAAGGTCACAAATTCACTATCCAATGTACCGTAGATTAAACCTTAATGGTTACTTTTAATCATGGAGAACGATGAGTTGGTGGTCTTCTGGATTATCAGATGACACGTATTCAATCTCCATCGCTATGCACGTATTAAATGAAACGGCCAACCACTTTCATGTCGGTTGCTCACCAAGATGGCACCTTGATATTAATTTTATCCATGGTGACTAGTGAATGACTTTTGCAAAATTAACCTGTAAATTTTCGTTCTTCATTTCTCATTTATTTTCACTCTAGACGCTCGGAAACGCGCAGGCAAAGATGAGGTGGCTAACGAAGGCGAAGACGAGGATGTGGTCACTGTCGGCCAAGCTGGTCTTGCCTGGCGTAGAGAGAAGCGTAGGGCCAAGCTCTCCGTGCGAGTTCTTCGTCAACTCCTCACTGTAGTCCACTCGCTTGCCGGCAAGCACTCCACGTTTCCAAAAGGTCCAGTCTCTTCTCTTAACCCTACTGACAACGACAATCAAGGGACGTCGGTAACGAAGGAGAATGGAGAAGAGAAACCAGAAGGACAAGCAGCAGCAGATGAGGAGGAGGATCAGGCTACAAAACCAGCCAGTACGTCTACAAACACGGAGGCCATGGAAGTTGGTAGTGCTAATAATGAGGAAGAGGAGGAGGAGGAGAAAACCACTGCAGATCTTGAATCCGTCTGCTCGGAGGCTCCCAAAATGGCCGAGCTGGAAATTACGATTCAAAAGACTTTAGATGAAATTGTGAAAGTATGTTCTATTCGTCTCATCATTAATCAACTGGTTGACACGCCTTGAAAGATTTAGTTGCGTGATTTGTTAACAGTGTTTAATATTTTGTTTGTATAATTATTTTGCGGTTGAACTGTGGGAATTATTGTTATTTAATACTTGCCCTCATCGTGTGAGCAGTTTGCTTTATTTTAAATCATTATTACCTATCAGGGCAACTCTTTTAATTCGGTTATTAGCAGAGTTATTCATCCAGGTTTTGTCGGGCAAATGGTTTTCAAGTGCAACAATTTGGATGTGCTGTGTGTGGAATTCGCTTTGATATTCATAAATAAGCTCAAATTTATGGTTAGGTATTCGTTGCCGATTTCCATCGTTGATAGTAATCGTGCTTTAAAATTGCTTTAACTCATCAAATAATCAAGAACTGCCATATTTCCATTCTTATTCATATCTTGATTTTGGCGTATTACTGAAGTAGGGTTTCCTTATCCTTCTAGTAAGTTGCTTGCATAATTATATTCGTTTTTTTCTCTCATCCATGAAAATTCTTCTGCACTTTATTGTTCAGCTTTCATAACTTACTTGGTCAATACATTTGTGCCGATATTTTCAATACATCTCAACCAATTCAGCTGAAAGCACCTCCCTAACTGATCCAATCAATATGCGCACTTTTACTGGGAGAGAAGCCCTAAGTTGAAGCCAATAATCGTGGCTTTATGCATAGGCACTGAACGGAAGAGACTGTGGTCTTGATCAAGCTTGTCTGATTTGTGAAATATTATTATGCGTACAACATATAACGTGGTAGTGTTGTCACAGAACGAGGTTAGATATGGGATAGCAATAGGGAGTCACATTTCATACTTTGTTTGAATTATCTCCCAATCCCATCTAGTAATGCTTTGTCCTTGGCTTGTCTAGAGTAGAGGCGAGTTTAATCATTGAACCTCTGATGTAAAAACACCTCTACTTGTCAACTTCCACATCATTGGGTGTGCACTGACAGGCATTGAATTCGTGACCTTTGTCTTCGTAAACATGCACTCTAATTTTTACACTATCACTTGTGTTTCTATTTGCGTGAACTTAGGCTGATTTATTGAGTAAGCATTGTATTTTAACCTTTTTTATTTTTTCAAAAAGTAATAATACGGCTTTATCTCCCGGTTTGTGGGAACAGTGTTGCTCTTTACTAATATTCATGTGGTTTTGATCATTGTTCTTCACTCCCTCTAATCAAATGATTCAAAGAGATCTCTTTTATTATTCTTTTTAGACATGTTTGGCTTGCGAGATCTGCAAACCACACTACATTACTTGCTTGACCACATTAAGTCATATTGGTTTGCTTTTCCCTGGTGTCTATAACCGTCAGTTGAAACCTCTAATGACGGGTCATTTGATTCCAAATCTCCTCACTAAGGACGAATTAGATACCCCAGCCTCTGTTGGCAAATCTAAGGCGACTTCGACCAAAGCGGCTAGAAAGAGTGGACAAAAGTTAAATCAACCTTCTACATCGAAATCTAGTGGTGAAGAGGCTAAAGCGTCTGATTGGACTCTTGATGGAAATGTGCCAATACTCACTCGAGCCAAGGTAAGGCTGTTGTTAATTTTGAAGTCTACTGAAATTAAAATAAGTAGGTCTGTTAAGCTGTGTATGGGTGTTCTTTTTTTGTAGATTGCAGCTGTGAAGCTCATGGCTAATTGGTTAGTGGGACTGAAGTTGCAGAATAAGCAGGTCGCACAGGTTATTATTCGGCTCATTCACCGGATTATTGTACATGATGGTGACCTGACTGGCAAAGGTCATATGAGGTAAGCTATATTTGTTTGATTTTAAAATTCGAAGCGTGTATGTGTGTGCTCATTTTATTTTTTTTTGTCGTTGTTAATAAAGCAAAGAGAGAACGTTACCATGTGATCGGATCATTTTTAGTAGTTTAAATGGAGATAAGAAAAATAAAATGTTGTCTACTGACATATTCCGTTGGCATTGTCGAAGACACTGTGGAGCAAACGATGATTTGCCGTGAAAGTGTGCTCTATTGAGTACGATCTTGGGCTATGGAATAGATAGAGACTATTCCGGTGTCTGTACTATTTATTTATATCAAATTGCAGGCGTTTTGATAGTCATCATTAGCCCTTTAGCTGACTTCGGGCTTCACAGAGGAGAGGAGCATTAAAATCATAAAAATTCGAGGGTGGAGTGGGAAAGAAGAGTGTTTCACAGATGTAAAAGAGACAGACACAAAGGTAGGGAAAAAGGTAAGGTGAGAACTGTGGAAATGAGGGAATATGACATGCAATCGGGTCATGGTAGTTTGATGTGAGAATTCAAATGCCGGTTTATAGACTTTTTTGCCGTATGATGAGTATAAGTTGCCCAGGGTGCACCACGTGGAGGTAGTAGTGAAAATAGTGTGTACGTTTTTAAATGAAGCTTAGTCGAAAATTGCTGGTCCGGCGTACGATTTTGTCCACAGTATTTAAATAACACACACTTTTCATAAGGATGTTTAGCTTTTCTCTCGTTCATTTTTATATATTCAAATAGCAGATTTCCGTCAATTTCTACAAACTTGTATTCCTATTTTCCCACGCAGTCTAGGTGACATGTCTCGAGTGCGTCTGGTGGCCGCAACTTCATGGCTAAAGATAGCCAACTTCCAGTTTTACGCTGAGGTCATTGAAGTTGGTTGGTGTCAATCGATGTCCTACGTTATGTGTGTATGTGCCTGCATTCTACCTCTCTACATTAAAGCCTCTTTCCTTAGTGGTTTTAGGTCTTATTTGTGTCTTCTTTATCTAGGATCCGTGTCCCAATGTTCGCCAGAGGTTCCTTGAAGTCCTTCATAAGGGTCTGATTCGGCTGAAACTGCCACTGGAATACATGGCAATGTTTTCGCATGCTGCCGATGTTCCTGATTTGGTTTTCCGTCAATTTGCTAAACAGTACTTTGTTGCGAATGTGAAACAGAGGCGAGAGTTTCTAGCCAAACATGGATCGTTCAGTGAGAATCCAAGTAAGTTCTGCTTTGCTATTTGGTTTATCTATCTTATCACGGTTAAATTTTCTTCACTCATGAGACAAAAGCTAAATTTGGTCTTTTAGAAAAACTTTTTTTATAATTTCCAAAAACCTTTAACAATGCGCTTTTTTGCATTGCTCGTGGGGAATAGTGGGGAAGCGAAGTGTGAGACGCAATATTCATTCAAACGAACATTGGTCCGGTGTTTTAATTGAAAATGGAGGATTTTTAATTGTTGCTCATCTGATGGACACTTGTCTTAATTCAGCTCTGACAC